CCACCGAAGGTGAGCGTGGGGGTAGGGGAGACCTCAAACCATGGCGGTCTTGCCGCCAATGACAGTGGCAGCAGGAGCACTGTTGGCGAGCAGAGCTCCAACCCTGGAAGCACACATGGCCCATGGCTGATGACGTCATCCAGTTGGCGAGCAGAACTCTTTTTTTTTACTTTGCATGTATTCTTGCTCACATCGTTCTCTCGTTCTGCCACATCAGCCTGTTGGCATGCTTTCTGTGACAATTGTCCGTAAGTGGTACATTTGACTTCACCATCGTATACATAGACTAATAGTTACATGTGTATATGCAGGTCAACAAAAATCGATGGATCGTGTCCATAGCATCTAATCAACCGGGATATACATTTATTTACTTGAACTTTTAAATTCAGACCATTAAAATTTACAATCAATGGATTAGATATTTTTAGCATATGTGAAATGAATGTGGCGACTTATTTGCTTCTTGTTTCAGTAATTATATACTACTAATAAATAGACAGATTTGCTAGGTGTGAGTAACAAGAAGATGATATTCACATTTACTTTTTCTCTACCATTTTTCGAAGGCTGCATGCATAGTTGATGGTTCTTTATTCCCTAGACGATCAGAATCCGTTAGGATCGGTCAAGATCTATACATGAAATACACAAGATTTAATATGCACAAGATTTGCACAATTACTATCCGATTCACCATGCAGCACGAAATTTCCAGTGACAACCTTCCCTAAATGTTGTTCCACTAGCGTACGTCCACGACGGGAAAATTCCCTATATAAGGAGGTCCATCGCTACATACCTAGGACACTCGCAGTAACCACACAACAATGGAAAGAGCACTTGAGATGATGCTACTCGTGGCCATTGTGCTGGCCGCCACTACGTTGGTGGCGCTCGGCATGGACATCAAGGACAAGGACCTGGCGTTAGAGGATTCCTTGCGGGCGCTGTATGAGCGCTGGTGCGAGCACTACAGGGTGGCACGCGACCTCGACGACAAGACCCGGCGCTTCAACGTGTTCAAGGAGAATGCACACATGATCCACAAGTTCAACCAAGGTGACGCGCCCTACAAGCTCAGCCTCAACCTCTTCGGCGACATGACCGATGAAGAGGTCCATCGCGCATATGGTCACTGCTCCAACATCAAGTCTGATGGCCGTAAGCATCGGCAACAGGGCCGGTTCACGGACGACGCCATCAACGCCCGCAAGGGCCTCCCGTCATCCGTGGATTGGCGCAGACGCCCATCGGCGGTGACGAAAGTGAAGCTACAAGGAGTGCATTGCGGTTCCTGCTGGGCCTTCGCGGCAACGGCGGCGGTGGAGGGCATCAACTCCATCAGGACACGGAACCTGACGTCCTTGTCCACACAACAACTCGTGGACTGCGACAAGGGAAACGGGGGGTGTAAAGGAGGATTCGCGAAGTTAGCCTTCAAGTACATATAATGCAATCGGGCGGCATCGAAACAGATGCTAAGTACCCGTATGTTGGCCATGAGGACGGCCACTGCTCGGTGCCCAAGCCAAACCGGGACACGGTTGTCACCATCGATGGCTACAAACAGGTGGCGCCGAATGCGGTGGTGGCGTTGGAGCAGGCGGTGGCGGCCCAACCCGTGGTGGTTGGAGTTGATTCAAACTCGACAGCCTTCCAACGCTATGGGCGAGGTGTCTTCGTGGGGCCATGCGGGACAAACCTGGACCACGAAATGACGGTGGTGGGCTATGGCACCACCGATAAGCACGAGTATAAGACTCCCATAAAATACTGGATCGTGAAAAATTCATGGGGGGCAAACTGGGGTGAAAACGGCTACATCCGCATAGCACGCGAGGTGAGAGGTCAGCCCAAGGAGGGCATCTGTGGCATCCTCAAGGACGCGTCATACCCAGTGAAATTTAGTAGGAAAGGTGGAAATGATATCATGAAGAGAAATTAACGATCTGTGTATAGGTAGCCATTTTAACATCCCCCCAAACATATATGGACCGCTCATGTGTTCTATTATACAATAAG